CTCATTCACCCCCCTTTTATAAAATCCCCACACACACATTACGAAATTGTATAACCCCTGACGGCTGTTGCGCCGGGGGGTGGCCGACAGTCGGTCGATGCGGCGTTGCCAGGGCAACCAGACGCGTCGTTTCGTTACCAACGGGGGGGTCTGCATTTCACCCGAAAAGGGGAGAATTGCCGAGATGAACACTACCTCTCCTCTCCCCACCCTTTCTCCCTCTCTGTCTGTCTCACATCTGTCTCACTTCCCCTTGGAGTTTTACGGAAGGCTACGGAGAGGGGACTCCCCTATTTTCCCTCGTTCCCCTTGTCTGGCCCCCAACTGTTCCCGTCTGCAATTCCAACCGAAAATCGAATCTGCCCCTGGCAAAAGGTTAGGGTCCAGATGTATCAACGTTTGCTATTCAGTTTCAAGGTTTCCAAGGTCGACGGCAATGTCGGGGGTGAATTTGTCATTTTTCGGGGGTCATGGTCGGGGTATATTAAAATTTGTGTAATATCCGCGGATTCCGTTTATTTATGAAATTTTATAAAAATATATTAAATAAGGCCTAAGGCCTAAGATATATTTTTGTAAGAGTGATTTTTTTTACATTTTCGTAGATGAAAATTTTCCATTATCTGCAGAATTCTTTTATCTTCATTTTTTAATGTTTATTTCCGATAGAAAAAATTCCTTTTTCAGAATGCAATATATTTTTTCATTGATTTCACAACCTGTGGGTTGGAAAGCCAGAGATTTTGGACTTCGTCGGAGAAGTTTTAGTATTTTATCTTCATCTGTGACATCTCGGAAAATTTCCCGGTATCCAATGACGTAATTTCTCTCCCCCAGTCTCATTTGTCAGATATTCATGGAAATGAGGGGCCGAGTTATTTTCCATCAGTTGATTGTCGAGATTGCGGTAATTAGAGTTCAATCATGTAACCCTCGAGAGGAGGGAGAATTTTTTTACTATCCAGAAAAGATTAAGCCCTTGCCGAGCGATGGAGCGTGAAATTTCATATCTCGGAAGGTCAGCCTTGGACAAAAACCACGAGGAGGGAGATCAATATTTCTAACTGGATAGAAACCCTCGTAAATAAGGGTCAAAGGAATCTATTACGTCAATTTAGGTCAACTCCGTTGATTATCTTCTAGATGAGCCTGGAATTATGATGCCAAGAAAAAAAAAATGGGAGGAAAATGGAAATTTATGGGCGGTGGAATTCTCACATGACCATAATCACGAGCTTTTGAGCTCGATCGACCATCAAAAGTCCCGAGTGAAAATGCGACAGAATCGCTTGACCTTCGACACTCCATAAACTTTAAACTCGAGAGTAAAAAATGGAAAGTCACGATGAAAGTTGGCCTTTGTATCTTTACAGTAGTGGTAAAAAAATGCATAAAAAGTTAAAGTTGATCGAAAAACTCCGTGGAAAATCAACTCCATCGCTTTGTGATACTCCAATATTTTCCCGATTTTTCCACACTTATTCTCACTTGAAAATTCAAGAATATCTTATATCACTAATTTTCACGGCACAATTCCCAGCCATCCAATTTTCCTGAATTTTCCCAGTATAAAAATCCCAATCATCCCTTAAAAGCACGTTCTCCAATATTTTCAATCCAATTTATTCTGAAAAATCATCTATATTTAATTAAAAAATTGCCAGATAAACGGACAAACCCATCGTTTATTTTTTTTTCCAATGAATTTTCCCGAACAAAAAAAAAACCAATGAATCAAAACAGCCTAGAGCGTCGGAGAACTATTCGACAACTATTCCCACAATTCCAATCATAAATATCAGCTCTCATGCACCTTGTCAAGGTCACAATGATGGAGCAAATATGGTTACCAAGTGTTGTGTTCACATACATGGGGCATATGTATTATGTACTTGGGAAGTACATCGAGAGTCTGTGACCGACCCCTTGTATCGCGCACAGTTGCGGATATGGAATGGAGGGGAAGTGGCAGAGTGAGGGGGTGGCACACAGAGGGGGAGGGTACAGAGAGACAGAAACAATGAGAGAATGAGACAGACTTATCCCACTATAATACCGTGATCGATCGAATCTAGAAGAGGGGGCTGCACGCACTCCTGCACTGCCACCAAGTAGAAAACACTGTCATTGGTTACGACGTGGAAAATATTATTGCTCATAATATTGTTTATATGCCGTACGTGCCAAATGTCTATTTTATTCCATTCATATCTCGGTTATTGCACATTAATGGAAAATTTTCGTCCATTTATTTCTGGGATGGACATGGAAAAAATTTATACTCTAATCAAGTATATTTCATATCATCCGCAGTTTGTTAGTTATTGAGTCCTTTAGTTATCCTCCAAAGTTTTTAGAAAGATCTTCATCGATTTATTTATATCTGTCATCCCTATAATTCCTCCCTTATGAAGAAAATTATTATGAAAACCCTGGAAACCCCAGAAAAACTTTCCAAAGGTCAAGGAACACCAATTCCCTCCCCTGAATATCACAAATCAAATCTGTGAGTGGTGGGTGTGGACGATGGAAAGAGCTATAATTCACAACTGGAGGAAAAAAAGCTCACCCCCTCTCCTGGTATAAACTTTTTTTCTCCCAACTGGAAAAAGAAAGTTGCGATTGAAACGGTAGGAAATAAAAGAGTGTTTAGCAACACCTCGAGGGGAATCCCCGTGAATTTGTGGACTATTGTTGCACGTAATGATTTTTCCACCCTCTCACGTCATCCGCAGCGAAAACTCGAGTGAAACTCTATTTCCTCCCCTCATTCCCCTCTCCGTTCGGTTTTTAAATCGAAAGAATGGCGAAACGCGAGGAAAAAATGACTTTAACCGGTCACTCCATCGAAACTTGGGCTTGCATTAACCAAAACCCTGACGACGGCAGAAGCATAAAGGACTTTGTTCGCTGTTTGCAGTGGGGATGGAAAAAAAAAATACAATTTACGTCAGCCCCGGTTAATTGAGTGCCCCATTTGCGCCTCAATTTTTTCCTCTCATCGAGCTCTCCCGTAAAACTAATCCCCGAGGGTAGATACACACGGGAAAGCTCCATATTCCTGTATCCTTTCGGGTGAAATCTCGAAAAAAAATTCCACAGAAAAAACTGGGGGAAAAAATGCAAAACCAACTCGACACTGTCCACACGCTTTAATCCTATTTCGCGTGGGGCGGGTGGGTTATGCAAAAAGTTATTTACGCTTTTGCCGGGTTGAAATGGGCTCCGAAAAGTCTTACGAATGTGTAAAATGTCGAGGGAAACACAGCACCAAGACAATCCAAATCCGACAGTTGCAGTTTTATCCTGAGGTTCTTAGCAAAATGCGGTTGCATCTGTGTTTTAGTTTACGAGTCGAGAAAAAACTCTCGCATGAATGTTGGATGTCGTAAAATTCGTGTGCATAAAAAGGCAATGATAAATAAGTGGCAACTGAGAATGTATTAAACATCACAATATACTGCCCTGAGAGAATCGACTTCTCGCTGTTTCCCCCCCATCATCAATGCCGCTATTAAATATTAAAGTTCAATCCGCCCCGATGGACTATCATCCCATTTCCAGAGGAGAAAAAAAATTTGATGCTGGAGCCAGAGCTGTGGATCAAGTCGCGGGAATAGAGTACCTCATTTTCCTCAGAAGGGAAAAAAAAAATAAAGATTGCCCTGCAATTCGGTAACTGGGGTGGAATGGATTTCGATGCTCAAGGTATTTCCGCAGTTGTCGAGTACTTGGTGAAAACCCAGGTAACTGAAAGATCTCGAGTATTCAACTCTTGCGCCAAGAGAAAAGAGTGGAAAGACACTTAGAGAAAACGGGGATGTCTCGTCACTTTGCCATGTTCTCTCACTCCATTTTTATCGTTGAAAAACGCGACGTCAAGAAAAAAAAAACAAAATGGGGGAAGGGGACAGAGGGGAGAAAGAAATAACGAAAACACTCCGGTTTATGAGTATTCCAATGTACTTGAGGAGCCAAGAGAGATGGGTAAAAGTTGTCAGGTGCGAGAAGAATTTCCAACAATTTTTAAGTGGTGGATTAAAAGGGATGCCTATGGCTACCGTTGAGAATGCAAATGCAAAGAATAATCTAAACTTTTTTCTCTTTCCGTACCATCTCGAAGCTTCTCCGAAGCATCCAATTCCCCACGGCTCGGAGATGCTGTGTGTGACTTTGTCTCTATCTCGGGTTTGCATCTTTGAATTCCTGCACGAAGGTCGAGGTTTGGCCGAATGTTCTGTAACTTGAATAAACATGTAGGCGCTCGTCGCTATTCCTGAAGGATCAGGCTCCTTTGTCTTTACCGTCGAAAAAGGGCAAGAGGAGAGTTAACGATCCACGGTCATGTCACTGCCACCGTAAATCCACTCCGGGTAACAGAAGACTCCAATGCGGGCGTGACAGAGAGCACGTACACAACTTGGGGAGTGAAAAATAATCATAAGGATGGGGGGGGAGGAGAAAGAGAGAGAGACGAGAGCGATAACCTTCGGTGTTTGTGACCTTGGTCTTTCCCTTGTGGCAACATTGGCTCGTGTGTTTGGCCTGTCTCTTGTAGCAGGATGTGCCTGGGACGCTCGAGTGAAACATAACCAAGAGAGCTATTTAATTAAAGGGTCGACTGCATGCGGGAGGACGTCTCTGTCGCGTGGTGATTGTCCTTGGAGTAGGATACAATGTCAAACGTGTGGGCTATTCTCACAGCCATCTGTCACTAATTCTACTGCCAGTTGTTGCCGACTAAAAAACAAACTCCACACACCGACAAACACCAGCTAATCATGAGCTTTAGTTGTAGATGATTTCATATCTCGGAATCCAACAGAGATAGCAATGTTGTTGTGATGACCTTTTTTCTAGCTCTCATTTTGCTCCGGAGGAGATGTTGCTAGAAGACGTTGAAAGAATATCTTGGTTGGGTTTAGAGATGTATATATGCTGATTATTGGTAAAATATGATGAAGAAAAGGTGTATTAATGTATTGTTTATTGTGTTGCAGGGATGCCGGTTGACTGAAGATGGCCTCCCCGACACCCTCGTTGGAATCACGCGCAAATTCCCTCGGCTCCCTGGTATCACTGTCCCCGCTGACCGTTAGCGGGAGCTCACCACCAGCAAGTGATTCTGCTATCTGTGACGTAGACAGTTGCGATATCTGCCTCGACTCGGGTAAACCGGGCGACGGATCCTGTCACTGTCGTCTTGGACGTGGCGTTAGGTGCACAGGTTGTAAATCAACAGAATCAGACGCTGTAGCACGTTGCTTCGACTGTGCCAATTTTCTCTGTCCAAACTGCGTTATGGCCCATCAATTTATGCACTGCTTTGAGGGACACAGAGTCCTCAATCTCGGTGATTCCAAAATGGAATCGAGCGCTGAATCACGAACTAATCTCGTTATAACTGGTGGTAATGGTACTAACGGTGAAAAAGCACTGTTCTGTCCACGCCACAAGACAGAACTACTGAAATACTACTGTCGTACTTGCACAGTGCCAGTTTGCAAGGAGTGCACAATAACCGATCATCCGGGTTCACTTCACGATTGCGTACACATTTCTGAAGTTGGACCGCAGCAGTTGGAATCGGTAACAAGAGCAGTTGCCGATTGTCGAGCTAAAGCGGCGGATGTCAGGGCAGCTGTCAAAGCAGCTGATCATGGTGCCGCAAGACTTCAGGTACAGTACCACAAAGCCCAGAATGAGATTAACGATACATTTCAATTTTATCGCTCGATGCTCGAGGAGCGCAAGCAGGAGCTACTCAAAGAGCTTGAATCAGTTTTCTCAGCAAAACAGATATCACTTGGTGTTGTCACCCAAAAAGCCAATGAAATGGCTGACAAGATTCAACAGACATGTGACTTTGTTGAAAAATTAACCAAGTATACAACGATAACTGAAGTGCTGATGGTGAAGAAATTGCTTGATTCGAAGCTACAGATTCTTCTGAATTATACACCAGATATCTCAACACAAGCAGCTGATCTTGAGTTTGTGAGTAATTATCAGGCAATTCAGGTTGGCGTTAGAAATACATTTGGGTATGTGCGAAGTAGTACAGACAGCAACAGTGTTGGCCCGAGTAAACAACCACCAATTGCCAGACCAACAGCATTATCAAGCGGTGGTAACAGTAGCAATGCAAGCAGTGGACCAGGCAGCGCTGGATCACTAGGCGGTCTACTACTTGACAGACCCTACAGCAATGGCCTTGTATCAAACTCAACTTGTGCATCAACATCGCCACCATCATTCGAGAGCAACGTCATATCCAAACGTTTCAGCTCAGTTAACAGCCTTGGACCATTCTCAACAACAATCAGCGATCTCAATCTCAATGGCATGAATAATCCATACGAGAAATGGAGCAATGGTGGTAGTGATACATACTCAGTGACAACAAATGATCACTTCTCAATGACAACAACCAATGGACCAACCGACTCCGTCCTCGAATTGACGTCGAAACTCATGTCGGCTGCTGCTATATTCCCACCAAAGTCACAGATTAAACGACAGAAAATGATCTATCACTGCAAATTTGGGGAATTTGGAGTTATGGAGGGACAATTCACTGAGCCATCTGGTGTTGCTGTTAATGCCCAAAATATAATCGTCGCTGATACGAATAATCACCGAATTCAGATATTCGACAAAGAGGGACGCTTTAAATTTCAATTTGGCGAGTGTGGTAAACGCGATGGACAACTTCTCTATCCAAATCGTGTTGCTGCTGTACGTCCTTCTGGTGATATTATCGTTACCGAACGCTCACCAACACATCAGATACAAATTTACAATCAGTATGGACAATTTGTACGTAAATTTGGTGCCAATATACTGCAACATCCACGCGGTGTTACTGTTGATTCTAAGGGACGTATTGTTGTGGTCGAGTGTAAAGTCATGAGAGTTATAATATTCGATCAGGGTGGCAATGTACTCCAGAAATTCGGCTGCTCTAAGCACCTTGAATTTCCAAATGGGGTTGTCGTTAATGACAAGCAGGAGATATTCATCAGTGACAATCGTGCACACTGTGTCAAGGTGTTCAATTACGAGGGCGCTTATCTCCGTCAAATTGGGGGTGAGGGTATCACTAATTATCCCATTGGTGTTGGTATCAATGCCGCTGGCGAGATACTTATTGCTGATAATCACAATAATTTCAATCTGACGATATTTACGCAAGAGGGACAACTCGTTTCAGCACTCGAGAGCAAAGTTAAGCATGCACAGTGCTTTGATGTTGCACTTATGGACGATGGATCTGTTGTACTTGCTAGCAAGGATTATCGGCTCTACATATATCGTTATGTGCAAGTACCACCAATTGGCATGTAGAGCCGTGGATGATGGGCTCAGGCTCATCGCGAGTCAACGTTCAACACCAAGTTACAATACTTCAAATCAATTAGTGAAAACGTTGACGATAATACGACAAGACACAAGTGTGATAAATATAAATCACCGTTTAATCGTTGTTTATCAACGATCACCTCGGCAAATGGTAGACGTTCACAGTCTAGCTGCAACATCGAGAATCATCAGGCTCATGCTGATAACAAAATGACGCGCGCCGCCAGGGAAACTCGTCAAGACGCCTCATCCACGCTGTGAATTTTTTTGCCAGTGAAACTTATTTCTGTTTTTTTTTTATGTTCGTTTTTCTTTTTGTAATTTGTTTAGTTTTTTTTTAATTCTCTCTCTCTCTATTCTCTTCGAGGGGACTGCGAGAATGAGTAACTCCCTGACACACGCACAAAAAAAAACAAAATGTGAAGGTTTAAATTTAACGAAAAAAAAAAAAAATGGTAGAGGCGGACTCGGAGACAGTAACAGAATTAATGGAGAAAATAACCGAGACAATGAATGATGAAAAAAAAAACACGTACACACGCGCGAAGAAAAAAAACTTACTTGTTAATGTTGTTATAACTGAAAATACTGTTGTTGTTGTTTAGTTGTAGAGCTCGCCGCCGCTAGTCACTTTTCCCCCCCGAATTCTTACCGTGTTATTGCCCTTTCATTGCCCTCCCCCACATCCCACCTCGCGATTTACCTTTTTCCAGGGATTTTTTGAAAATTTCGGCTATTCTCCGCACACCAAAAAGCGTCTGGTAGCGATTTTTTGGAATTAGGGAAGTTTGAATACTTCGAGAGCCTCTGGAAACGACAAAATGATTGTTCAATAATTTTTTTTTCTCTACTGTCATTAATCACCGGTAAACTGTCGTAGCGTGTTCCCTCCGTTCTACTTTTTCTCTTTGATTCCTCAATATTTTCCTCGACTCGGGATTCCAACCACAAACGCTCACCAACTAGTTTGCGTTATAATTACCGTTTTATTTTTCCACGTGACCACTCGTAATTCTCTCGTGTGCGCAAGAGAATGGAGTGAACCGAGGACTCGGGTTCGTCGTATGAAAACCTTCCATTCGCATTATTTTTCTCGTATCCTCCATTTTTTACTCTTCCCACTTTGTTTAAAGAAGAACGAGGATAAACACAGAACGAAGGTCAAGAACTCTTGACCCCACCCTAGTTCATGTTGTATTTTCATTAAAATGAAGATAAATCCTCATTTAATGTCACGAGTTCCTCAAGACGCGCGTCTATCGTTGGGTAGTTGATCGATTTATTAATTTTTCCATGGAGTTTCGTCCAGCGAGCGACGAAGGCTGATCGTTGATTTGATTTAGTTGACCTATTCAATCTCCCGATTTATCATTAGTTGTTTATTGATAATATTATTCGATCATTATTTTTAAATGGGTAACGAAGCAGTTAAACGGTTCAATATCGCTGAATCCGGGGAAAATAGCCAACACTTTGTCATCACCTTTTTTGTAGAGCGAATTGAGCACAACTAAAATGGTTTTAACAAAAATTTTCATATTTACCGTGGATTTTGAGGATTTTCAATGAAATTCACTGATAGGTACAAATCGGTTTGAACCGTTTTGCCTCTTTGATACTGAACTGTGTTATATACCTCGGACGAGAGCCCTCGAATTGCAGAACAGTTCCGTTGCTGAGACTTGTAATTTTCATATATTTTTTTTTAATTAATCTCATTTAGATCGTAGAGACGAGATGGACAGTGTCCGATCAAACGTAGTTTTTCTTTCTCTCGAGTTTTTTCTCTCAACCTCTCTTTTGTAAGTTTTACTTTTCCTCTGCACTCAAGTCCCACGTGACATTTTCCATGATTTTTTGAGTCCTGTGGGACAGGGGATACCGTGGTGGCAAGGCTCCAATGTTTTTCCCTTCGAAATTGACCAAAAATTGTTCTCTGATTGATAAACTCTTGCCTAATGCCTACGCGGTACACCTCCACGTGTGCTTAATTATTTTTTTACCCAGGCAAATGCCTGTTTGTTTGATTGTTTTATTTTCTCACAATGTAGTTATTGTAGTTGTAGATTGTAGAGGAAACTGAGGTGAAGTGAATGATTAAGGAGCATTTAAGGAACTATCCTCCAATTATTATTATTTTTCCTGTTATTGATTGTATTATTACTCCTTGCCCGTCAATTATCATTCGTGACTGCTGACCAACTCGTGTTTAGACCAATTTATTTCCCTTATTTTATGAATTTTTGTTTTGTTCAATTGATTTTTTTTTAGTGTACATTTACGATTCGATTTGTTTAAGACAATTCAGGTACGAAAAACTGTGCACTGAGATAATCCCAGGACTCTGGGTTGAATAAAAACTTGAGGTAGCATTCTTTTAATTTTCTCGTACCGTTCTTTCTTTTTTCAAAAGTTATGGAACGACAAAAACTGAACATGATAATGAAGAAATAGTATTAATATATTTTGTTGAATGAGTCGAGTGAACTGAGCGACAGGATACGATATGAACGTTTTGGTTTGTCACGACTTCATGCATGGTTAAAACAATTTACAATCATTATTAATTATTGTGTATTTTTTATTGTATTAGTATTATTAATTATTGTATTATTTTATCGAATTTCACGATCAATTGTGTCACTGCCGAGAAATTATTGGCGTATGATTTCAATTTTGAGAGATACGAGGGGAAATTGAGAAAAATTGAGGAGAAATAGTGGGAAATCTAGGGTTCAATCAATAAGACTGCGAGGCTAGCTGGCAAGAGCACTGATAAAAAAAAGAACGTCTTTATTTAGTGTTCTCCACAACTCGTTATTCTCCGATCTTTTATTTGAGGGGAGGGAGAATCGAAACCGAGCGGATATCAAAGATAAAGTTGAAAGAACTGCTCTCTTTATTTTTGCGATGTTGAGTAAAGTATGGCAATGTTTTTTTTTTCATCACCACCCGGAGATTATTTTCCCTTTTTTTTTTTCTTTATTTTCCACCCTCGAGAGTCCCGAGTCGACGTGCGACCTCGATTCAGAACGCTCGAGTGAGTGAATCAGACGACCGGAAAATTTCAAATCTTTTTTTCCACAAGTCCCTCCAGGGGCCCCAGAATCATCCGGTTTTCTCTCCAATATTTTCAGTCACAAGTCATGAAGTTTCTGTTCCATTATCTCAATCTCGATATCCAATCGGCGAAATAAATTACAAATAAATGTTGTTGATTCAAGATGTCACGTACTTACGAGAGTAAAAACACTTTCATATGATAATTCAGCTCCAGTGACATCATTTTGTACATAAATTATCGAACAATACTCTGATTTCAATTAGTTATTAAATATATGATTTTTTTTTTCACTTCAATTTCACGCGTGTGTGTTGTGTGCATATGAGTTTTTGTTTTTCCTTTACTCAATTACCTAGAGCTATTGGATTTAAATCAGTGGTTAAATTCCTGATAATCAGTCGATAAACGATTGATATTGTATTAGTTAATTGCACCAAAGTGGCGTTAAACAAGAATTAAAGATAATTCGGTAATTTATTTATTCAGCGTTTAAATGATTCATTGAAATTTGTGTTTTACTAGTGTTTTGAGTTCTGACGTTGAGTTTTGTCCGGGGATAATTGATGGTGAATTGTTACAACGAATTAACACTGACAATTTTTACTTTAGAATATTAATGGAGGGGAGATTTTTTTTTGGGGGCAGCCTTGACAGCTCGTTCCTATTCCAATTGAAATTCCCATTGATAACGAGCCATTTTATTCCTGTACTTTAGTTTTTATACTCGATGAACGATGTGGCATGCCCCGGAGTCAATCTCCCCGAAAAATTGTGATTTTTAATGGAACCAATAAAACTAGGGGATTTAATTCACCATGAATTACAACCGATGAAACTCAATGTATCAATCATTTGAAAAAACCTCAGCGCCAGCTAGCCATCGAGACTTCAGCCCCCAATGGGGTAGATATAAACAAAAAATAAACAAAAAACGATAATTGAAACAATGAAGATAGCTTCAATGAATTCATTAACGAGATAAAAAAACATTTGCGTTGTTCAGTAATTATAAAGACAATTAAGAAAATAACAAAACAACGAAAACCTCTTTCAACTTCTTTTTTGTACGGTTTGTTATGTTATTATTTTTAATGGATACAACCGAATTGTTCTTAATTTAATAATGTAAATCGTATTTTTGTTTGTTTCTTTTTTTAGTTATTTTTTTGTTGTAAAATGCTTTTTAATAATATTTTCAGTTCATATTACCTGGCCTTGTGTTTTTTTTTCTTTTCTTTTTTTTTTTTTACAATCCTGATTGCCTCTTTCATTTTCTATTTGATAAATCAGTCCTGCACTTTATCCCTTCAATGGTTTCCCCATTCCCTGCAAGAGCTGATATCCAGGTTTCCACGCAATTCGAAAAACCTCAGAAATATCGACGACCTTTTAGTTTTTTTTTTTTTTCATTTCTTTTTATTCGGACTGGACCCTTTCATGTTTTGTACCACGTCATTCGATTTTTATACTGCAACTTGTGATTTCTCGTACATTCCATCTACTTTTGATTTTATATGTAGTATTACTGTATCTAGTCATTGCATTTTCCACCTTTGAGGGAGCTTGTTACCCGAGATTTCATGTATGCTGTGTGACACATTCCGTGATTTTTTATTTCCAAGTAAGTGATGAGTAGAATTTTTCTATTATTTTATCCTCGCATTGCAATTACATGGCAAACAATTCCAGAGAATATTCATAAAATCATGATAAACTGCTGTAAATTGTCTCTCTCTCTAGACTTTTTCCAAATTGAAAAATGTCCGGGATTTTCTGTGAATTCTCTGTGCCCATTGGTGATGGAAAAAAATCCGTGGATCTCTCCTGAGGTATAAACCCCCAGCAAAATTCAAAATACATAAACCCGGTCGAGAGAACCCAACGATATTCGCGCATTTTTTACCGTTAAAAAGTGATTTTTTTTTTACTCGCCCACACGAGAGAACCTCCGGGAAAATGTTTTCCCTGAAAAATACAGGAGAAAGCGTGTAAAAATAAAATGAATAGCGATGGGGAGAAAAAATAGGGACTGGACAAACTCTGGGCACTGGGGATGCAGAGTAAAAAAGCAAAAATAGGGGGAGAAAAAAGGACAGAAGCCCGCGAGGGTTGACGTACATTCCTCGCAATCATAAAATTTTGACGATCTTCACTCGTTGTGGATTTCTCGTTATAAAAACAACACACTAAATACCGAACAACGAACAAAAGCCACATACCGAGGTGAAAAACAAAAAATACCATAGAAATTATGAAGCCGTAGTTAATTACTCCCAGTGCTTGCGAGTGCGTACAGACCCATGGAATAACCGGTGGAACGTGAAAATCAGAGGATCCGAGGGAGGAAAAGAAAAACCGAGGAAAAATCCCTAGAGCAACCCCAACCGATTTTCTAATAAAAAATTGTGAACAAATTGGCGGCGATTTGAGGGTGTTTTTGACTATAACTCATACTATGATTAAAAAAAAACTATTGCATTCTGGCGCTCGGCAAAATGAGAAAAAAAAAATGATGAAAAAATGAATTACTGGTTATAACGACGTTTTTTAGGTATTTAGCGTTCGAATAGATGACATATATTTTTGTACGTTCGCATGTGTATGTACCGAGAACGCCGTGAATTGCAACGACGATGTTTAATGGATCGATGATGATGATCCTGGGTAGACGTAAACTTGGATGACGAAGAATAAATCAACATGATTAAAATTAATGCGTGTAATGAGCATTTAATGAGCTGATGTTTGATGAGCTTGAGGAAGCGGCGCGCGGCGACTCTTTGATAATTGAAATACACTCTTCCCGGGCCCAAGTACTGTTACATTATTTGAGAGAATGTCAAAAGGAAAAATAATAAACACATGAAAAATAAAAAATATCCAAGACGAGGAGTTTTGATAACGAGGGGGTTAAAAGTTGGATTAATATTTTTAAATCGTAACGCTCCATATTGTTGCATGCCTAGTTATCGTATAGACTTAAAAATACCGTCTAATTGGTATTTAATATTTTATTGGAGTAATAATACTGAACTTATTTCGCTTGTAGTGCGAGTGATCGTTTATTAGTAATTAAGTGGAATATATAGTGTAAGTGAATTGGAATTGCGTTTTTTCGTGAATAAATGGCGAATGGGGGGGGAGCTATCTCTGCTCGGGGTTGCGACTCTAGGTTTTTAGTCTCTTCTGGCGATTATTCGTCTCGAATTTTAATGTCGAGGTCAGGGAGGAGTCAACAATTTGTCGGCGCAACCCCAAAGGGCTATGATTCAATTATTATTGTCACTAAATCCCGAAACCTCGCACTCCCGCGTCGTTTGATTAATCAATCAATGACCGACACTGCAATCTGCGGTTTCATACACTGTATCAAAATTTTATATGAATTTCCCGGCTTGGGCCTTTAAATGTCAGAGTTTCACGAAAATTTCAGCGGATTTCTCATTGAAAAATCACATTTCACAATAATTTTCCGGGGAAACTCCACAGAAATAATGAGTTGCGAGTGAATTTCCCCGCGTTAAAATCAAAATAATTGTGAAGAAAAAAGAAAATACTCAAAAATATGTAGCACTGGTCCAATTTAATCCTCGGAAATTCATAAATTGTTTTCAAACGTCCGGGAAATAGTGCGGGGTGGAAAAAAAAACCCCCTCCGGCCCTTCCCTCCCTCCGGCGCAAAAGCATAAACTCCAGAGCCATTGGGTTTCTGTCAAAAAAAAACATATTAATGTACGTTTAAGAAAACGCATGCTTTAATCTTCGGTAAGACTGAAAAATCAAAGAGCAGTGACATTTCGATCAGCCACAACGCATAATTATTCTGTACTAATGCTTCTCCAACAATCAATCAAACAGAAGGAATTTCATGGTTCACCCATTCAATTAATTGGAACTAAAACGGGGGGAGAGCCCCAAGAGGGTAAAAAGATTTAGTGGGTAATCATCACGGGTGTACAGCCTCATAATCGATAAGTGTTTAGAATTAATAATAATTTAAAAATCATTCGGGTTTGTTTCAAGGGGTGCCATGCGACATTGAGGCCCCAAACAAACGCCCCCAGTATTCCAATTGTCTGTAATTGTGGTAGCGTATCATTACTTCATTAAATTATCGTTTTTACCACCACCCCACCCACTTACCCCC